CGCGTGAATCCCTTCGGCCGTACTCGCGCTATCGCGTCCTTGGTCGAAATTCTCGCACGCGTCACCGCTCGCGCGCACATGCCCGCTAACGAGCTGGGCCTCGGCAGCCCGGCGGCTTAACCTCCGCCGTGCATGATAAGCGCAGCTCGCCGCATTCTTCAGCCTTCTTGCCGTGTTCTCATCATTCCCGTCCCCTTCAAGTGCTTCCTTGTCCTCAAGGATGAAGTCGGGAAATCTTTCGCGCATCTCGTCCCAACTTTCCCAAGTTGCCTCTTCACTCGGCAAATCCTCCCATTCGACGAGTACTTCTCAAAAGTATTTTCCAGCCCTTTTGATTTGTCGGTACTCAACCGCGTGGCCTGGCCGGACTACAACTTGTCCATCCGGTGCGACCGCAGGTAGCCTATCCTTCGCCGAATGCGCCTCGCCAAGACTTCGCTTGAGCTGCGAAACATGTATGACCGGATGTATATGAGAATCGCCCGGCAACTCAAGTCGATAAGCAACCTTCTCGATCTTGGCCAAAATTTTATAAGGCCCATAGTAACGAACCCCAAGTTTGGTCGCGGCCCTTTGTGCGGTCGTCCGTTACGGGAATGGCCTTAGTTTTAAGAACACAAAGTCCCCGAGCTCAAACTCCTCGTCGCGCCTCTTTCCATCGTGGTACGTCTTCATTCGATTGATCGAGCCCTCAAGTGTTTCCTTAAGTTCGCGTAACATCAGGTCGCACTCGACCAATTCCCGATCCACCTCATCGTTCACCGCACTACTCATCGAGTAGCTCACAATTATCGGAGGTTTGTGCCCGTACACAAGCTCGAACGGCGTTGCCTTGGTCGAGCTATGGTAAGTGGTGTTATACCAATACTCGGCCCAAGGCAAGTAACTCTCCCACCTTTTTGGAAATTGATGCACGTAACACCTAAGATATTGCTCGAGCATGCGGTTGGTCACCTCCGTTTGCCCGTCGGTTTGCGGATGATAGGCCGAACTCATGGAAAGCTCGGTCCCTTGCAACTTGAAAAATTCCGTCCAAAAGCTACTCATAAAAATTCGATCACGATCGGACAAAATGGAGCGCGGTACTCCATGTAGCTTTATCACGTACTCAACAAATAACCTTGCAATTGACTTAGCCGTATACGGATGCGTGAGAGAAAATAAAATGTGCATACTTGGTAAGGCGATCGACGACCACCATGACTCCATTGAACCCATTCAAAAGCGGCAGCCTTTCAATAAAATCCATTGTAATGTCTTCCCAAATTCGCGCTGGCACCGGCAATGGCTGAAGTAACCCTCCCGATCGCCGCAAGTCCGCCTTTG